CTGCCTCCTAAAAAGAAATTTGGAGTCCCAACCATAAACGACGTCATTCTCTTTATTCCCAGCCCTTTCTTCTTTTTGCCCCTTCTGCAATCATCTCCATCTCTATGGACTCCTCCGATTCCTTCAATTTTTCAGACGCAATCCCACCCCACCGACTTAATCTCTAGCACCCACTATTTTAACCCCATTCTCCCACTGCAATTCATCGTCTCAACAACTTCAACCCATTCCTCTAGTTGCGGAAGACGGCGACGACAACGGCGAGCGCAAAGTAACCAAGCCTCGCCGGTTGTCGTTCTCGCCGTCGTCTTGTCCGCCCTCACCGTCAACTTCCAGGCCTGAGAAGTTTATTCACCTCATTCCAGTTCTCACCCTTCTTTGCTTCCTCATCCTCTTTCTCTCCTCTCACGCTCCATCTCAATCAGGTATGTGTGTTCAAAATCTACTAGCTAAGCATCATTTTTCAAAGGAGATTTGATATTCTTGCCATTGACTTTTTTGTTTTGTTTTGATTTTTTTGGTTAAGATTTGGCTCATTTTGCTCAATTCAAGCGCTCCTCTAAGCAGCTGGGTATAATGCAGCTTCAATTCCGCTTTATTTTCTCTCATTTTTTTCGTTAATTTCAGATTTTTAGTATTTCTTGCCTTTTTCTGTTGTTTATTTTTAAAAAAGTTTTATCTACTCTGTAGATTCAAGTGATGAAATCGGCGATGCTGGTGGATTTGTTGATTTCCGTAAAGGTGATATTCTGGCGATTAGAAGTCTAAGGAATCTGAAGGTGCTTGAAAAGAAAACACCGAAATCCAGGCCTCACCTGAAAATAATGGGATTGCGTCTGAAAAATTGAAGGAATCGGAAGAGTCGATGGAGATGGGAGGCGATGGGATGGAGATGATTGCAGAAAGGGCAAAAAAGCAGAAAGGGCGAAAAAGAAGGAAGGGCTGGGGATTAAGACAACGACGTGGTTTATGGTTGGGACTCCAAATTTTTTTTTAGGAGGCAGAACTGACGGCCACTTTCCCCCGTGTGTGTGTATATATATATATATATATTTTTGAACAAAGTGGCAAAGGGGGTTCGAACTTCGAACCCTTGGTGGGGAGGGGATTCCACCTCCAAGACAGCTCCGAAGGCTACTTGACCCAAAAGTTGCAGTGCTGGTGTTTGTTATATAGTTGTTTGGTTTTTGAGAAAAAAATGAAAACAAATATATTTCAATTGTAAAAGAAATACTGATTGCTTTATTAGAGAAGAAAATGAAAGTTGATCCATGTTTAGTTTCCAAGAAAAGAAAAAGAGAATGAAAATATTCAATTGATTATTTTTCACTAAAAATATTTATATAATTTTTTTTATTTGTATAGGAATATAAATTTTGATAGAATTGATAATGGTTATGCTAGCTGGTTAATAAACTTAATTTCATTAATTTGTCTGAATTAATATAA